GATGATATTTAAAAGAAGAAAACTTTTTCAAAATTGATCAACAACGAAGTGAGGCAAACTAATGTTTTCTAACGAATGTCGAGGTTTTACCAGTTTTTATCAATTTTTGTAAGTCAAAATTTCACTTTAAATATACTCGTGATTTAATAGACGACAGTGCTCCGTTAAATTTCACTTCGATATATTTATTATTATATTTATGATATATTCATTTATTATACATTTATTATATATTTATATTTATTACGATGAAAATTTTACTTCGATATATTTATTACGACGAGTATTCTTCTTCGAATCCGTGAGAATCCAGGATCAATACGCGGTCTTCTTGGTAAATGGACAGAACGAGATATCTCTCTCCGAGCCACTGACCAATATAGACGTCGAATGTTTGACAGGAAAGGGTAGGATAGTTTTTGGCCACATTCCGTCCTTCCGAGGATCTTCCGTTTCCAAGTCTCGTGCTAGCTCCGCCACGAATCCATAGCAACGAACAGTGGAACCGTCAAACGATACAACACGTTAAGCTTCCAAGAACTCTGCGGGAGATCTCGTGGGAACTATATTGGAGAATATATATCGAACGAGATGTATAGGGAAGGAGTCATAATAGCTTTTTGTCTTTCAACGTCAGACGTCAGACGTCGATGCGAGCTTCACTCGTAATTAAGTATCTACTCTCTTCTGCACTCTGAATTTACACCAATTCGTTCGTAATTTATTTTCAATTTTTTTTCAATTTTCGATTTTAAATCGATTTCGCTCGGAAACGAGTGACCGATCCTTCGCCGTTTTGTAAAGATTTAAATTCACTTTCTATTATTGAGAAAAAAAGAATCATCCCCTTTCAACTGTCACGCATGTGAAAATCACTCGGTTCCCTTTCGATTCTCCATGATTGCAAATATTCGTCCTTTGTACATTCCACGGAATTTTCCTCCGTGAAACATTTCTTCCAAGCGACGTTGTTTCGCAAAGAGGGAGAAACCTTACAGACAAAATAAGTAGATCGTCTTGCTAGAGCGGCTGGATAATAAAACGTGAAAAATGGAGCCCTATAAATTTCCGCCGGTTGAGTAGGTCACTCGAACAACGTGCGTCGGATCAGGATGTAGATTATAAGATTAACTCTAATCTTGAAATAATATACAAACTTCGGAACGAAGGAAGTTCCAGCGCTTGTACAACGCTGTTTTATCAAAACAGCAACGAGAGACATACATTTTTAGTGCGACGAAGCGGTTATGTGCTCTTCGTCAATTTCGAAATTTCTCCCTGTTACCCGATATGCATAGGATTATTCGGGTATTTACGATCGACAAGCGCGAAGAATAGAATTTACTGGGGATAATTGTGACGAGGAAAGTCTCGTGGTGTCACGTGTTTATTATTTTAAGAACCGAGATCCCTAGAATCTAAAGAACTTATAAAGGAAAAGAAATAGCGAGTGTCACGCTTTCTTCTTTGGCTTGGACGTTTTCCGTGTATTTTAGGATCCAACGTGTCCAATAACATCGTCGAATTTTTGGAACCGCGAAATCCATGACTTCTTCCTTCGCTTCTTTATACCGAACTTTCCCATTTATTGAGACAAATTGTTGCCTGCCTATTCATTCTTTGACGAAATTTTGTTCTATAGTAACAAACTTTTTCTTTTGTCGTTTCTTCGAGCTTTTTTTTCTCTCGAGCACAAGTGAAAATTGCAGTTTTCTAAAAAATCTGCTAAGAATTTGTACTATTATATGTTCTTATAAAATTAATTATTATAAATTTTTACAATTATAATTTATACTATTATAAATTTTTATAAAATTAATTATAAATTTCTACAATTATAATTTATACTATTATAAATTCTTACAGTTATATTATTATAAATTTATATTATTATATATTTATATTATTATAAATTCTTACAATTATAATTTATACTATTATAAATTCTTACAGTCATAATTTATACTGTTTATTATACTGTATATTATAAATTCTTATAAAATTAATTATTATAAATCCTATACTATTATAGATTCTTATAAAATTAATTATCATAAATTCTTACAATTATAATTTATACTATTATAAATTCTTATAAAATTAATTATTATAAATTCTTATAAAATTAATTATTATAAATTCTATACAATTATAAATTCTTATAAAATTAATTATTATAAATTCTATACCATTATAAATTCTTATAAAATTAATTATTATAAATTCTATACCATTACAAATTCTTATAAAATTAATTATCTAAAATTCTTACAATTATAATTGGTACTATTATAAATTCTTATAAAATTAATTACTATAAATTCTTACAATTATAATTTACACTATCGATATATAAAGAAGAATTAAGAACTTGATTGACAATCGGATTCAATTGCAATTATACTATACCTCCCACCGCGGTCGGGGTAAGACTCCGTCATTCTTCCTCGAGCAAATACACGAGCCCGATCAGCTGCAAGTTGAACTCACTCGTCGAATCATCGTCGTGTCCCTTGGGCCGTTAGCCGTTTATTTACAACGTGTTACATCGTTCGCATTCTTCTGTTACGTGGCTCGCGATAAGTAGCACGGAGTCCATGTTTCCAGCACTCAGATGCTGTTTGCCGAGGAGGCATCGCCGATAACGCGACATGAGTGCGGCACGGCCGCTTTTCCTCTTGGGGACTGGCCTTGGCAAACAAACCACCTAACCCTCGGCCAGAGTGCAAGCTTATCCTCGTATGGCCATTCGTAGCTCTTTACACGTGTTCTCCGCGTTGGCCGATCAAATAGGCGAACCGATCTGTTTGCAGACTGTTCCTAGATTAAAAAAAAACTACATACATAGATACATATTTCGTCCGGTTTATATAATGGCCAATTTTATAGCCGCCAAATCTGACAGAAATTGGTCAGTTCGGAGAAAGAGAGAGAAGAGAAGATGAAAATAACGTGTTCATCGCGTTGGCCGATCGAACAGCCTAACGATATTGCCTTGTCTGTGAATTTGACAATTTGATCGTTGTCAATATTTAAAACAGCGTTATCAGTCGTCGCATCGATTAACTCGGAGCAAATATTGTTTCGCATACAACGCTGAAAGAACGTGAATCATTTTTCACGGTGGACAGAGTAATTATCGTGCAACGATGATCTTGAAAAATATGATGATCGACTTTGACTTTCTTTTCATTGAGTTTCGCGATCGCGAATCGAGATAAACGACGTTGCAACACGCGACTGTTTCATACGCGGTACGTTAACTGCGTGTTTCCTCGTGAGAAACGAATTTTTGGTGGTATGCTTGACTGCTCTTATCGTTTAAAGATGAATTTTATCGAGAGACACACATCTATTTTATATTATAATTATTGCGCGATTTTTTACAAGTGTCAAGAAAATCTGATAAATTATTGAAAATCTGAAAAATTATTTGATAAATGCATCTTCCAACTGACTATTAAATAAAAGTATTTGGTAATTCAGTAAGTTCCGAGCAATAATATTATATTTGAACACGTCCACAAAATGTGTATTTATTTTACGTTATATATTTATTCTAGAAACTCTTGTAACTTTTAAGAGTCGTACAATAAAAAATTCCGCTACATTTTGATAAAGATATTTCTTTCGTAAATAAACTGTTTTAGTAAATTGTACTTAATTAGCAAATCACGAACAAGCAACTCTCACGTAAAACATTTCATTTCATCGAAAGTTAAATATATTCATGTTACATTATAACAATATGTTGCTGTAACTCTCGTACAAGTAATTTAATACAGCTGCTGTAAGAAATTCTAATAAATTCGCCGTGTCTTTCAAACAGTTTGTCAAAGATATTTACTTCGCGACGACGAGACACCAAGTTGCGAACAAGCAATATTATTACGTTCGAACGCGTTGACGAAAAATACTCGACGACAGAGAGAAAAAAGTCATCCAGATCTATTCGGCCAAATGGATCCAAATACAAGCAATTTCTGCCTATTTTTACGCTTCAACCCTCCGGTGAATAATAATCATTGCCGGCCCATACGGTCTCCGGACGTCTCTGTTTCTCACGGACTGCGTCTCAAAGACAGGCAACACGCGCAAGAGCTAGTAACACAGTTGGCGGAATATCCTGGAAGAGTGACACGCGCGTCTTCGTGGTCGTGTGGTTGGCTGCGCGGCACTAAATCAACCCGAGTTACGCGCCGACTAATTGTGAACCGCCTCTCTCCTCCTTTGCCGCCCCCGTGTGGCAAACCAAATATAACTAAACCGAGCGAAACTAAACGGCCTGCCCGATTAACTTCTCCGTTGGCTGGCTACCACTCGCCAGCCCTATTCTCGACTGCCTGTCGGACAAACCTCTCTCCCGTTCTCCTCTCGTTTTTATGCTTTCCGTCTTCCGCTCTTTTATTCTCTCTTTCTTTCTCCCTTTTTTTTTATCTTTCTTTAATCTTCTCCGCGTGGCGAGGACGCAACACGAGACGAGAGGAGCACGGTTAAATTACGCGATGTGTTCCTCCCGTTGGGTCGTGAAGTGCGTCTTTACACAAGCAATTTTTCACGCACGATCGGTCGCCCGAAGATACGAGGCTGCCGTTTCGAAAAAGAATGTTTTTCTTAGGACCGAGGAATCGAATATTTCTCCGCGAGTTACGATCCTGTTTGTTATCGTTGACCAGTGGAAGAGACGAGTAGGTGTGTATATATATATATTTCGGTTTTACAGTGTATTCGGGGGGGATACGTATTTAACGAATATTTTCTCGATTGTTAAATATCGAATGTTCGATCATTTTAGTCCGTGGCAAAGTGCTAAAGAGACTCTCGTCTGTGAGAGCGGCTCTTCTTTTCCACTTTTCTCCGCCCGACGAAATCGCTCACTGTTTGCGATCACGTTCGGAATGGCCCTCGCGGGATTAACTAAGGAATATAAGTTAGTAAATAGAGGCGGTTACGGAGACGAGGTCAGACGATGTTGCAAGAGGGTGTGATGCGTTTTGCAGTATGGGCACAGGGCGACTTCCGGGACGAGGTGACCGGGGGTTTGGCGAGGCTCGATTTGACGGGTCACGGAGCTCACACACCCGGTGGCAGCAACCCCAGTACACCGGGTGCGACACCCACGACACCCTCCGGTGGATTTTCTACCGCACAGCCTAGGTCCCGCACGAACACGACACACAGGCCGGATATTCGAAAAGGTACGCCTCGCCACTTTACGAGCAACTTCTCTATCGCACCCCTCACCACCCCCAACCCCCTCTGTTCCCCTTGTTTGTTCGTTCCAAATCAATTCAATTTGGTTCAATTTCTCCATTTCTGTCCTTTTTTCTTTTTCTGTTTCTTTTTCTTTCGTTTGACTACGCGTACACCAACGCTGTGCTTCTTCATGATAGAGTGGCCCCTGCTTAGATTTCTCGTTTGTCTTCGAGAGAAAGACACCGCTTGGATATTCGGTTTAAGCTGAATTTCGAGCAGCAATGGGGATTTCGATTTGAAAAATTGAAGTTAGACGTTGATGTAGATAGCTGTGCGGTTGGTCAACGAGAGTAGCTTGCGACGAAGAGTGGTCCGAAACTGCTGGTAGATAGTTTAATTCGCTTCTGCATGCCGTTCCTTCGTTGATTAGCCATTTCTATTTTAATATCGCCGTAGACATTTGTTGCTAGATATTACACGTAGTGTAGGTATACGTCTCGTTTGAAAGTAGAAAGATTTAGATCGATTCGAGATGAAAAGAACGTCTGTTACAAATATTATACATTTTTTTGGCATACTCTATAATATATATTCTAGACTTTTACAATTACAATTCTATTACAATTATTACAACTCTATTACAATTCAACGACATAATATGTATTCTAGATCTACAATTATTACAACTCTATTACAATTCAACGACACTACTCGAAAACTATAATGTATATTCTAGACTTTTACAATTACAATTCTATTACAATTATTACAATTCTATTACAATTCAACGACACTGCTCAAAAACCATAATGTTTATTCTAAATCTACAATTATTACAACTCTATTACAATTCAACGACATAATGTATATTCTAGTTCTACAATTGTTACAACTCTATTACAATTCAACGACACTACTTAAAAACTATAATGTATATTCTAGACTTTTACAATTACAATTCTATTACAATTATTACAATTATTACAACTCTATTACAATT